GGGCCGGCGGCATGGGGCGAAGCCCTTACGGACCACTCACCTCTGGACCGCCACCGATTTGGGGGGGCAGCTGGGAGCCCGCGGGGCCCTCCGCTGGAGCTGGGCGGAGCGGGGCGGGGCGCGCCGGGGCCCGCCCAGCGGGGCCCGGAAGCCCAGATCTCCGATGGCGCGTGCTTTGCCATCCCGCCTGCGCCCCGCCTGCGCCCGTGGGTGCCCCGGCGCCGCGGCGCGGCAGCTGCCACGGCCTCCGCTGGCGGGGCTGGCTGCGCCAGCACACTTGGGTGCGATCTCGTGCGCCTCCGAGCGGCCTAGTCTTCCCCCCCGCACCTCGCGGCCGCCCGCCCTGCCATTTCCCCCTCGTTGCATGCTGGCGCAATTCGCTTTTCGATGCCCCCGTCTGGCCTCCGCGCTGGTGCAGCCGACTCTGCCTCGCCGCCGACGGAAAACAGTTTGGCCAACTCGCGGCCGAGAGCCGCGGCCGTGACGCCTACACTGGATTTCACAATAACCAGGGGGTGGTCTGCTTTGGGGGCGTCCTGCTTGGAGCTGCTTGGGAGGGTTCCGCAGGGTCTGGGAAAAAGGCCGCCCTTTCATGGCTGGTCGGGGGGCTCTAAATTTGCTCGTCTGGGAGGGCTGTGACGCCCCCCCTCCTGTACTAAGCTCGGAGTGCACTTTTGTCCTAGTATTTCGGCGAGGAATAGGTTAGCTCCGCTCCCCGTTGTGCGAATCAAAGCGTCGCCAGGCAAACCAAGAACGTCTCACGAACCGACCTGCGACAGACGAGCTCCTGCAGTGAACCGGCCATCACGCCTACAACGGAGGATGACGATGGGCCGGCCTTCACCTGCAGACCGAAGAGCGCGCCGGTGTCTGCCTGGCGCGGCCTGGAAACCCAAATCTCCGACCATATGACTACTAAGCCAATCCAGGATCTTTTACTTGATTAAAACCTCTGGGGCATGTTGTCGGGAGCCAGGACCATCAAACAACGGGTCCAGAACGAAAACCTACCCGCAAGGAAGGGGTCGGGAAATTGAGAAGTCGTATCGGCGGATGTCTGGGAGGCAGTCGCGGGTGGGCGGGAGCCCTTGCTGGCTGGGGCCCTTCGCTTGATGCAAGGGGGTGATGGAAGGGGGAATGGCCACCTCTCGGATGCCGAGAGGGCGCCCTGGACAAGGCCGTTGCGGTTTGTCAGGCGGCTGTGCACAAATCCTTCAAAAACCTAATCAGGGATATAGGGCTATAGGGCTATTGAGGTATAGGGCTATAGAGCTATAGGGCCATAGAGTTGTAGGGCTATAAGGCTATTGGGCACCCCCGGGCACGCCCGGGCACCCGGGTACCCGGGCACCCGGGCACCCCCTGGGCACCCGGGCCCCGGGCACCCCCGGGCACCCCCGGGCAACCGGGCGTGCAGCGAAAATCGGCGACAAACCTAAGAGACAGCGCCCCGCGTCACCTCCTGCCCTCCTCCCCCGTCCAGTCCTGCCGCCCACATGCGTCCGCCACACGCAGTACAGCATTTCGTTGCCCCATAGGGAGCTCCACCGAAGGTCCCAGTGCTACCCCCCGCATGCGTCCGCCACACCCAATACAAGGTTTGGCGGCCCCATAGGGAGCTCCACCGACAGTGCCAGTGCTACCCCCCGCATGCGTCCGCCACACGCAGTACAGCGCTTCGTTGTCCCATAGGGAGCTCCCCCGAAGGTCCCAATACTACCGCCCGAATGCGTCCGCCACACCCAATTCAGAGCTTCGTGGCCCCATAGGGAACTCCACCGAAGGTGCCAATGCTACCGCCCGCATGCGTCCGCCACACCCAGAACAGCGTTTCGTGGCCCCATCGGGAGCTCCACCGAAGGGCCCAGTGCTACCCCCCGCATGCGTCCGCCACACCCAGAACAGCGTTTCGTTGTCCCATAGGGAGCTCCACCGAAGGTGCCAGTGCTACCCCCCGCATGCGTCCGCCACACGCAGTACAGCGTTTCGTTGCCCCATAAGGAGATCCATCGAATGTCCCAGTGCTACCGCGCGCATGCGTCCGCCACACCCAGTACAGCGTTTCGTGGCCCCATAGGGAGCTCCACCGAAGGTGCCAGTGCTACCCCCCGCATGCGTCCGCCACACGCAGTACAGCGTTTCGTTGCCCCATAAGGAGCTCCATCGCATGTCCCAGTGCTACCGCGCGCATGCGTCCGCCACACGCAGTACAACGTTTCGTGGCCCCATAGGGAGCTCCACCGAAGGTCCCAGCGCTACCGTCTGCATGCGTCACCCCCCACCCAGAACAGCGTTTCGTGGCCCCAGACAGCCCGCATGCGTTTCCCCCATCCAATACAGCGTTTGGCCCGATACGGAGCTCCACCGACGGCCCCAGTGCTACTGCCCGCATGCGTCCCCCAACCAATACAACGTTTCGTGGCCCCACATGGAAATTCACCGACGCCGCCAATGCTACCGCCCGCATGCGTCCGCCACACCCAGCACAGCGTTCCGTGGCCCCATCGGGAGCTCCACCGAAGGTCCCAGAGCTACCGCCCGCATGCTCCCCCACCCAGTACAACGTGTGGTGGCCCCATAAGGAGCTCCATCGAACGCCCTAGTGGCACCGTCCGCATGCGTCTCCCCCACCCACTACAACGCTTCGTGGCCCGATACGGAGCCCCACCAAAGGCCCCATTGGAACCGTCCACGTGCGTCACCCCCCACCCAGTACAGCGTTTGGTGGCGCCATAGGGAGCTCCACCGACGGCCTCAATGGCCCCGTCCACATGCGTCTCCCCCACCCAGTACATCGTTTCGTGGCCCCATAGAGAGCTCCACCGAAGGCCCCAGTGGCACCGTCCACATGCGTTTCCACTACACAGTACAACGTGGCCCACAGAGAGCTCCACCGACAGCCCCAGTGGCAAAGTTCGCATGCGTCTCCGCCACCCAGGACAGCGTCTCGTGGCCCATAGGAAGCTCCACCGAAGACGATACCCACAACTGAACTGCGGAACTCACAACTGCACATGATTGGGTCCTTCGGCAAGATAATTTGTACTTCTGGAGGCTCTTGGAGCCGTCTCGGGCGGAACTGGCAGCCTGTGGAGCCGCCGGGACGCAACTTTGGGCCATCTACCAGGACTGCGAGGCCGTCTTCAGCCCCTCTGAAGCCGTCTGGGAGCCATCTTGAACCGTCTTGGACCTCTCATGGAACATCTTGAGGCGTCTAGGGCGCACCAGCGACCGTCTAGGACCGCCCCGGGAGCGCTGGGAGCCTGCCCTGGCCGAGTTCCGCCAGTGCCATCTCGTACGCGCTAATCCCGACATTGTAGAATAGATCATGTTGGGCTTCACCTTCGTCTCGAGCACATCGGTGAGAACCGACGACGCCAAATGCCAACGGCTGCCCCCTCCGCAAGCGCCAGCGGTAGCGAAATACTAGCCTACGCTGATGGTCATGCGCTGTTGAAATGCTTCGCTCCATTGCTTCTTCCTCCCGCACTGCTTAATATCCGCGTCAATGTATTCCAATCCAAGTCCGCGCAGGTGGCGGGATGGGGGAGAAAGGGAGGATGGAGGCATGAAAGGAAGGCGGGGATGTGGGAGAGAGGTGGGCGTTGGCGATCAGGGGGGAGGCAACTGGAGTATCTTCCTCGGGTTTCGCTAGGACATGCGGCGGACGATGCAGACCTGAACGCTCTGGGTCCTGCCTGTGGCTGGGGGGTGATGTCCTTGCACGACGAGGTGGTGGAGGACGAGAGAAGGAGGAGGAGGAGGAGGAGGAGGAGGAGGAGGAGGAGGAAGAGGAGGAGGAGGAGGAGGGGGAAGAGGAGGAAGAGGAGGAGGAGGATGAAGAGGAGGAGGAGGAGAATGAGCAGGAGAATGAGGATTGGGGGGGGAGACCGAGGAAGAAAGGGAGGCCGGGGCGAGGCCCGTTGCAAAGCGAGGAGGAATCGCAAAGGCAAGATTCCTTCCCTGCAGGCAAAGAGGAAGAGAGAGGGAAGGCAGGAGGAGGAGGAGGAGAGGGGGGGAGGAGGAGGAGGAAGGTTTCGGGGAAAGGGACACCAGAACGCGCCTGGGGCGAGCCTCAAGATCCAACTGGACATAGGCGGAACAGCAGATCCGACCCGAATGCAGGCTGGGTAAGGCCGAGGGAGAGCGGACACAGCTCCCCCAGGCAAAAATGAGTCAGAGCGCGCCGCACCCTGATGCAAAAAGTTGTGGCTCTCAGCACGGGTTGTCCTCGCAAGCTCAACGCCCAACGTCCTCCTCCTCCTCCTCCTCCTGCTATTCCCCTCAACTTGGGCCGTTAGTCCAACGCTCAACCACACGTCGCCATGTAGGCGATCAAATCCGCGCGCTCTTTCTCCTTCTTGATGCCCGCGAAGACCATCTTCGTGCCGGGAATATACTTTTTCGGGTTGACGAGGTACTCGTACATGTGCTTGTGAGACCAATCGGGAAGCGGGAGGTGGTGGGGAGGATTGAGTATGCAGGTGTGGAGATGAGAGGACGGAGGAGGTAGAGAGCACAGCATAAGGCAAACGTGAAAAGGAGCACGCTGCTGATGCGGGCGACCACGAGGCAGGTAATGGGGACGACTATGATGATGTTGATGTTGATGTTGATGTTGATGGTGATGATGTTGATGACGATGATGATGCTGCTGATGCTTATGCTGATGCTGATGCTGTTGTTGATGCTGCTGATGTTGATGACGATGATGATGCTGCTGATGCTTCTGCTGATGCTGATGCTGCTGCTGATGCTGCTGCTGATGATGCTGTTGCTGATGCTGCTGATGATGCTGCTGATGATGATGCCCGTGATGACGACGAGGCCGATAATGATGCTGCTGATGATACCGATGATGCTGATGATGGCAACGGCGACGATGATGATGCGGGTGATACTGATACTGCTTATGTTGATGCTAATGTTGGTGATGATGCCGATGACGACAACGATGGCGATGATGATGCTGATGGTGATGCTGCTGCTGATGATGATGATGATGATGATGATGCTAATGATGATGATGCTGACTATGACTATGAGTGTGATTTTGGTACTACTGCTGATGATTACGCTGCTGATGATGAGGATGATGATGATGCTGTTGCTGATGATGCTGATGACGATGCTGATGACGATGCTGATGCTGCTGCTGCTGATGATGATGCTGATGCTGGTGCTGGTGCTGATGATGCTGATACTGACGATGATGATGATGATGATGCTGATGATGATGATGCTGATGATGATGATGATAATGATGATGATGATGATGATGATGATGATGATGATGATGATGATGATGATGATGATGATGATGATGATACTGATACTGATACTGATGCTGCTGATGATCATCATCATCATCATCATGGTGGTGGTGATGTTGATTGTGATGATGACGATTGTTATGATCAGATCTGGTGTCCTGGAGCCCCGAATGTTTGGCCTCGGAGTGGGGGTGCATATGCCCCTGCTGCTGCATCCTGGGACCGTGGGGCCCCCTCCCCCAGAAAGGGCGCCGGCCCGGCCAAGTTTCAGCCTCTCGCGGCGCGCAGCCACGGGACGGGGCTGGCCGGGGGCAGATAGTGCACCCCCAGGAGCGAGCTCTGCCGTCGAAGTCCCCTTCCCGAGCCCTTGCGAGAGCGAGGGGGATGCCCGCGGGCGTGGGAAGAGTGCCCGTCGGTGCTCGAGGAGCGGGCGGGTCACAACCTTCAGGGGGCGTCTGGCCCCTGGCCGGGACTGCGGCGAGGGTCCCAAAGGGGGGGAGCGCTCTGCGCTGCACGGCTCGGGCGAGAGCCGAGGGAGGCTCGAGGGGCATGCGCGGACGCGGCGTCGAAGTGGGCGCGGCACGCAGCGCAGGCGACGTGCGCACGCGGCTGCTCAGCAGCCGGGAGATCCGCCTCCCAGCCGGTTGCCCAGCAGCCGAGCCCCAGGCGGAGAGCGGTCCCGCCCTGCTGCGCGAGGGCCGCCCCTCCCCCGTGCCTGCTCCGCGGGGGACGCGCCGGTGCGGGCGGCGATCGCCGAGCCGGAACGCGGGCGAGGCCGCCCGAGCAGGGCTCTCCTGAAGGGGCCCCGGGACACGCAAACAAATAGACAGAGAGAACAGGATGCCCCCAATATCTTCTCATGTTTTCTGGTATTTTGTCCTCCCCCCCACTTCCCATCTTTTCTATATTTTCCCAGGTTTTCTGGGGGATCGACGATTTAATTGTGTCTGTGTGTTTTTTGTTTTTTTCCCTCCTGATCTCCACCTGCTTTCGCAGCAAGGCGGTCCGAGACACTGGGAGCTCAAGCTCGGCCCCAAGATGCCTCCCGAGGCCCGAGCGCAGTAGTCTTCCGCGCTGCGTCGAGCTGTGGCGACGCAGGCCCCCCCCCCCCCCCCCCCCCAAGGCCAACCAGTCCTCTCCTCCTCCTCCTCCTACTCCCCTCCTCCTCCTCCTCCTCCTCCTCCTCCTCCTCCTCCTCCTCCATCCTCCCTCCTCCTCCCCTCCTCTTCCCCTCCCCCTCCTCCCCCTCCCCCTCCCTCCACTCCCCCTCCCCCTCCCCTCCCCCTCTCCTCCTCCTTCTCCTCCTCCTCCTCCTCCTCCTCCTCCTCCTCCTCCTCCTCCTTTCCTCGTCTCACCGAGCCTTCACTTTTAGTTTCAGTGCCTCGAGGCGGATGCCTGGCCGAATCCAGGCCTTTGCCGCTTTTCGCTTCGCATCCTCTTGCCACTCTTTTCCACCTGCTCGCGAGCTCTCTCGCTCTGCAGGCCCCGGCAGGCCCTCCCGCTCGGGAGCCCTCTCCGAAGGCCCCGGCATGCTCCCCCAACCTGCGAGAGCCCGTGGAGCTGGCGAGCCCCCTGAAGGTCCGGGCATAGACAAGCGCGCTCCACGACTCGCAGAGTACCCGCTCGCACCTGGCCTGGACCCGCCGCGTGGGACTTGCGATCCATGACGCCGATGAAGACCTGCTTTTCTCGGACGTTTGCGAGCAGGCACGTTCCGGGCCGGGCGAACGGGGGGGATTGCAAAGGGGGGTTTGAGAATCAGCTCACGTAGCTGATTTTCCCGGCGCCTCCCGGCGCCGGGAGGCGCCCATGTATACATGGGTGCCTCCCGGCGCCGGCGGCGGCGGGGCGGCGGAGGCGGAGGAGGAGGAGGAGGAGGAGGAGGAGGAGGAGGAGGAGGAGGAGGGAGGAAAGGGGGAAGGGGCCGAAACCAGCGGCCCGGCGGCGGGGCCGAAATCAGCTGCATGCAGCAGATTTCGTACCCCCCCCTCTCCCTGGATCCCCCCCCCTTTCGTCCGGTGTTTTGCAATTTCGTGGACCGTTTTCGTTTTGACGTCGTTCTGCAACAAATGTGGAACGAAGACAGAACTAGGAATGACGAAAACAAGCCGAAAACGGAAAGCACTGTTTAACTCGAGCCCTGGTACCAGGGAAGCGGTCCAAACCATCGAACAATTTGGAGCAGCCGGATGTCCGAGTTGGCAAACTTTCGGATTGCGTTCCAAACCATGCTTAAGTCGGGCGTGTCCCCCTACAGGTAGATTTCCGAAGAAAAATTAGGAATACCCCCAAAATTACCCTGGCGACGTACCCAACCCCTGCGCAAAAGCGGGGCGCAAATAGTTTAGGATACTTTATAAGGGGGCGATGACGGAGCGAGGGTTACATATGTCTGCAGACGGAATTCGGGAGACTCGCAGGACACTGGCTACAGGAAAAGGGCTTGATAAAGCTGATGATTTACAATTCCTGAGCACTCCTAGCCACTTCGAAAACGGGGATCACAGCAGGCCTCGAAAGTGGCGACAGGTTCACAGATCGCAGCCCCGCAGGGATGGCGAGGTCTCATTTGAATCTGCCCGTGGCCCTCACTGTGCTGGGCCCCCCAGCAGGCCTCGAAAATGGCGGCAGTTTCGCAGATCGCAGCCCCCCAGGGATGGCGAGGTCTAATTTGAATCCGCGCGTGGCCCTCACTGTGCTGGGCCCCCCAGCAGGCCTCGAAAATGGCGACAGTTTCGCAGATCGCAGCCCCCCAGGGATGGCGAGGTCTAATTTGAATCTGCGCGTGGCCCTCACTGTGCTGGGCCCCCCAGCAGGCCTCGAAAATGGCGACAGTTTCGCAGATCGCAGCCCCCCAGGGATGGCGAGGTCTAATTTGAATCCGCGCGTGGCCCTCACTGTGCTGGGCCCCCCAGCAGGCCTCGAAAATGGCGACAGTTTCGCAGATCGCAGCCCCCCAGGGATGGCGAGGTCTAATTTGAATCCGCGCGTGGCCCTCACTGTGCTGGGCCCCCCAGCAGGCCTCGAAAGTGGCGACAGTTTCACAGATCGCAGCCCCCCAGGGAGGGCGAGGTCTAATTTGGATCTGCCGCGATTACCCTCTATGCTGGACCCCCCAGCAGGCCTCGAAACTGGCGACAGTTTCACAGATCGCAGCCCCCAGGGATGGCGAGGTCTAATTTGAATCTGCCGCGATTACCCTCTATGCAGGACCCCCCAGCAGGCCTCGAAAGTGGCGACAGTTTCACAGATCGCAGCCCCCCAGGGATGGCGAGGTCTAATTTGAATCTGCCGCAATTACCCTTTATGCCGGACCCCCCAGCAGGCCTCGAAAGTGGCGACAGTTTCACAGATCGCAGCCCCCCAGAGATGGCGAGGTCTAGTTTGAATCTGCCGCGATTAACCTTTATGCTGGACCCCCCAGCAGGCCTCGAAAGTGGCGACAGTTTCACAGATCGCAGCCCCAGGGATGGCGAGGTCTAATTTGAATCTGCCGCGATTACCCTCTATGCCGGACCCCCCAGCAGGCCTCGAAAGTGGCGACAGTTTCACAGATCGCATCCCCCCAGGGATGGCGAGGTCTAATTTGAATCTGCCGCGATTACCCTCTATGCTGGACCCCCCAGCAGGCCTCGAAAGTGGCGACAGTTTCACAGATCGCAGCCCCCCAGGGAGGGCGAGGTCTAATTTGGATCTGCCGCGATTACCCTCTATGCTGGACCCCCCAGCAGGCCTCGAAAGTGGCGACAGTTTCACAGATCGCAGCCCCCCCCCCCCCAGGGATGGCGAGGTCTAATTTGAATCTGCCGCGATTACCCTCTATGCTGAGCCCCCCAGCAGGCCTCGAAAGTGGCGACAGTTTCACAGATCGCAGCCCCCCAGGAATGGCGAGGTCTAATTTGGATCTGCCGCGATTACCCTCTATGCTGGACCCCCCAGCAGGCCTCGAAACTGGCGACAGTTTCACAGCCCCCCGCAGGCAAGACAGAAAGAGGCAGGAAAGAGGCGGGAGGCGGGAGGAGGAAGGACGCGACCACACTGCTCTATTCAAAACGAATACTCAACCAAGGAGGGTTGGGAATAATAATAAAAAAAATGTCCAAACATAGTCTGGGGACTACTGTGTAGTATTTTTGACCTTTGTGGAATATTTTAGGGGTATCTTTAATTTTCCGTCGGAAATGCCCCTGTAGGGGGACATGCCCGACATAACACCATGCTCGTTGTGCTTGCACGGCCTGGCTGCGGCTGCGACCGGGCGGCCCCTCTGCCCTCCTCGTCGAGCAAAAAGAGGAGGGGCGAGGACTGTAGCACTTGTCTTCGCGCGTATATCCGAGGAGGCCAAGGGCAGGGGCACGCCATGCTACAACGCACTGACGTGAACCACCGCGTGAGCGACTCTGCGAAACCACGCCGCGTCTCGTGGTTCGCGGTCATATCTTCGCGACTGCGAAACTCGTCCGTCACACAACAGCGGCCCTGAGTGTCCTCCCACCGCGTCCGCCCACAACGAGACGGGCGTGTGGGTTGTTCCCGGGTGGAGCTCGTCGTATCGCACGTCCAGTGAGTCTCTCGAGCGTAGTAGGTGTCTACGCCCACGACAGTGACTCCTCAATCTAAATGTGTTCTGCCCGAAGCACTTTGCACTGCGCGTGATTCGATCCGCGCCTGTGCGCCCACTGCCAACGCCTTCTCTGCATGCACACCTCTCCGTCTGGCAACATTTGTAGTGCCACTGCTCGTGAGTCATGCGCTTGCAGCATCATCTACCCAGGTCTGAACGAGTTGCAGTAGGGTCAAGCACTCACACATTGCGCGGTATACGACCTCCCTACGCAACAACAACTTGTCATTTGCCAGCGCTCGCGCCATGTACTGGCAAACCAATGTTGCATATTTGCGCTGGCCACGCCCTCCAAGAGCAATGCAATACGAAGCCACTTCAGGGCCATTGAGGAGGATGGGGAGGAGGATGCGGGAGGAGGAACGGCGAGGGAGGAAGACGCAGATGGAAGGATGGCCGAGAAGAAGGGGGAAGCAGAGAGGAGGGAGGAGGGCGAAGAACACTTTTTGGAAAAACGGTGGGGAAGGAAGTGGAGACGACGACCTGGACGATCAAGGAGAAATGTGTGACGTGTCGGAGGTTGCCAAAAGGTGCCCCTGGCCCAGGGTACCCGCAGCTTTTCGTTCTGTTTTGATGAGGCACCTGAGGCAGGATAGGGGTTCTCTGGGGGCCGTCGTCTCTTTTGAACTCTTGGGGGCACCTTGGGCCATGGGGCGCTTCCTGGCAACACCCGATTGTGGGGAGTCCGACCAGATGATCCCGGAGTTCTTGTTGGCCTCGGAATAGGCGAAGCCCTCCAGGGTGCCAGACTGCCGGCCGAAGACGCCCCACAGGGGCGGGCCTCCGCGGGGGAGGAGCAGAAAGAGGAGGAGGAGGAGGAGGAGGAGGAGGAGGACGAAGAGGCGGAGGAGGAGGAGGAGGAGGATGAGGAGGAGGAGGAGGAGGAGGGGAAGGAGGAGGAGGAGGACGACGAGGAGGAGTGGAGAGAGAGAGAGAGAGAGAAAGAGAGAGAGAGAGAGGAGCAGAAGAGACGCAGAGATGTCGGAGATTGTGAGGATGCTCCCAGGAGAAAGGGCGACGAGGAGGGAGGTCGAGGATGATGATGAGGATGGACCATAATCAAAGAGGCGGGTGATGAGAAAGAGGAGGAA